TTTTCTGGACAACGTATCAATTGTATAATACACTAAAAGTTGAATATCATGCAGTTCACATACTCTCCAGAAAATTTATTTTACTAATTATACAATTACACTAATCAGTGAAAGGGAGCTCTCGTGGCCTAATGGTAAGAAGCTCCCAAAGGAAGGCAAGAAGCTCCCAAAGGCGCGTGGTTCGAGGCCACCAGCTGCTCCGCAGGAGAAGAATGGACAATTTCCTCTTGTACCATTATCTGCCCCTGAAAACCCATCACCGAAGGGTCAGCTATGGGCGGGTTCCAACTCTATGGTACACAACAAGAACAGTAGTGAAAGGAAGAAAGATGTGTCTAAGCAAAAGGAATGGTCTATCTAGTTTGCCCAATAATCCATTAAGGAGTTAACTCCAAAAATCTTGAAAGAGTTTTTATTTTCTACTTTATCTTAGCAGAGATTCTGTTTTACTCTGTTGTATCCCAGCACCAATCACTGTACCTGGCAAAACAACACTTATTTGTTGAATGAATTAATAAGAGGTTTATGTTAATTTCCTAGAGAGGCTGTAACAAAGAACTACTAGTAAAATATGGTAGAACAAGTTGTATAACAAATTGTTGTTGTTAGATGGCTGTCAAATTGAATATGTCTCATAGTGACCCTGTGACAAAAGACTTGAACCTTACCTTACCAGGGTAAGGTAGTTCTTGTAGTTTCCCACGTACTTGACCCCACTGATACAGTTACTGTGTCAAGCCATTTCATCAAGGTTGTCCTCTTCTTTGCTGACCCCAGTGTAATGTATTCCCAGTATCGTGTATTTTTCCAAGGACTGGTCCCTCATGAAAACTTGTGTGAAGTATGTAAAACAAAGTCTCACCATCCTTGCCTTGAAGGAGTACCTTGGTTGCATTTTCTCTGAGACAGACTTGTTTGTTCTTTTGACAGTTCATGGGACATTCAATACTTTTTGTCAACATCACAATTTAAAGGGATCACTTCTTCATCTTTGTTCATTGTTCAACTTTCAGATGCATGGGAAGCAGCAATTGAAAAGACCGTGTCTTGGTCAGGTGCACTGATGTCTTTAAACTGGTAGCCTTGCCCTTTAAAATTTTAAAGAGATTCTTGACAACAGATTTTCCCAGTGCACCATGTCTTTTGATTTCCTGATTGCTGCTACCGTGAGTGTTGATTGTAGATCAAAATAACATGAAATTGTTGGCAACTTCGATCTTTTCTCCATCTATCATGATGTTACCAGTGTTGAGGATTTTTTTTCTTGATGTTACGATGTTACCAGTACTGAAGGAGGTTCTTGATATTCTTCAGCAAGTGCATTAAGTCCCCTGGCTTACAAATGCAGGAATGTATTGTCTCACAGTTCTGGGGGCTGTTGCTATTGTTGTTAGGTATCATTGAGTGTGACTAATAGAGATCCTTTGAAGAACAGATTTGAACCCTGTCCTGTCCTATCCTGGACCATCCTCACAATGTCTGACATGCTCAGTTCCATTAGGAATGTGAGTTCATAATGGTGCAGGACTCCTTTCTAAGGCTGTAGGGGAAGAAGGTCCTTTCTTGTCTCTCCCATTTATTAGTACCACGAGGTTTGACTTGCAGCTGTCACGTAATCTGGCTTTATAGTCACAGGGAGTGTTCTCTGTGTGTGTCTGTTTCTTCTATATCTTTTCTCTTTAGCGTGAGTGGAGGTCTTTCAATCCCTTTGGATTGGGACTCATCTCATGCCAGTATGATGTCACCTTACCTGATAACATCATCAGAGATAAAACAAAGTCACACAGATATGGGAGTTAAGAGAAGTGTCCTGGTGGTACTTTGCTGCCAGCCAAAAGAGTTGGCAATTTAATCTACCAGCCAGGACTTGGAAGAAAATGTTAAGAGTCTGATTCTGTAAAGATTTACAGCCTTGGAAACGCCATGGGGCATTTCTGGTGTGACATATAGGGATGCTATGGGTTGGAATCAATGTAACGGCAAGGGGGGATTTTTGGTGAGGGAAAAGTGAGTGGTTTGGAGGGAGATGTTGTTAAAACTTTAACATATGCTTTAGAGAGACACAAGCCAATACATAAGAGGGCTTTAGCTAAGGTCTGGCCCCAGGACTCCATTTAATAATGTTGTGAATGAGACAAAGGTTTAATTGCGCTGAACTTTAATTTTTTCCTCTGTAGAGAAAGCTTTAGGTAAAATAATTTTTAAGGACGCATTTGATTTTAAGATGCTGAATCTGCTATCTCTGATTTTGAATGAACAGTTCATGTCAGTGTTTGGAATTGCTCTCAGAACTTTTCTGAATTGCCTCAACAGCTTATTTTCTTCTGGCACAGCAGCAGAGAGTCAATAAGAACTTGTTACATAATGGGAAGTGAAGAAGGAGCTGCTTCTGAAGCCGCATGAAGGTAATTCACTATGAGGATTAGGTGGCAACCCAAGTCTTGTCACATCAAACAATAGCGAAGGGACACGTTTTAGGCAGCTTGGATGACTTTATCTCCATATCCTTCTGGAGATTTATTTAAAAAAGCTTATATAACTGCTCTTCATTATTTCCAATAGCAGAGATCTTCTGTCTAGTATTAGGACAGTCATCTGAAAGGGAACTTGAGGCAAAGAAAAGGTCTATGTACTTTATTTCTTTATGAATCAAGTGTAACATACAAACTTTGCTTGCGGAACAAGCTACATTGGGAAAGTGTGACATCTTTGCCCTTTTGAAGTTAAGATAAAAAAATAAAAATATCAACAACTCTTTTAGCTTGTACCATTTTTTCATAATAGTGTAGGTGCTCTCTCTGTAGTATTTCATAGAACAATGTTTTCTGAGATAGTAGTCGTTATGTAAATGAAAGAATTCTGGTTTGAAAAATAACAGGTTAATCAAACAAATAGGTTTCTTGCCTGTAGTTCGTAGAGCTTCTAATGTATTACTATACGATGGGGTTCTGTAAATGGCTGTAGTAAAATATAGGCAAAGGTTTTCCCAGACTTGTGTAAAAAACTTCTTAACCCCACCTCTACAGACTATGGGGGCACTTTAGGTTCAGTAAACAAACTTTGAGAAATAATCTATATAATGTCTGTGTTGAATTTCTTGATAGAATTTTCCTTTAGGTAAAACAAACTGTTTTGTTTTTAAATAAATAAAAAAACCTGGATATGATAACAATCAAACAACACATTGACATATTGTACTTAATTTCTTATGATTGGTGTATTTATTTTGAATAAAATTGTATTTATGTTGTTGTGTTGTTATGTGCCGTCGAGTCGCCTACGACTCATAGTGACCCTGTGTACAACAGCCCTAAACTCCGCTCTGTCCTGTGCCAGTCGCACTGTCTCTGACACTCCCATCCCAATTATCCCTGTCACTGAATCATTCCACCTCATAGAGTGCCTTCCTCTCCTGCGCTGTCCCTCCACCCTCCCAAGCATGATGTCCCTCTCCAAGGACCGGTCTCTCCTCACAACATGTCCAAAGTATGTTAGACGGAGCCTCAGAATCCTTGCCTCCAAGGAGCCACCTGGTTTAACCCTTTCCAGGACAAATCTGTTTGTTTTCCTAGCAGTCCATGGTATTCTCAGTACTGTTCTCCAGCACCACAGCTCAAAGGCATCAATTCTCCTTCTATCCTCCTTGGTCATTGTCCATTGTATTTATGTAGTCAGTTTAACATAAACTGTATTTATGTAGTCAGTTTAATTATTTACCATTGGGTAATTTTTAATACGTAATGCTTTGGATTTTATAAAGATTAATTTATCTTGATATTTAAATAATAAATTAAGAAATTATCAGTATTATAGAATATTGGGATTCAGGAAATTGGCATTATAAAATATGTTTTTGGAAATTTGGTTTTTAATGATATATTCAATGATGATGATGTTGTTGTTGTTGTTGTGTGCCATTGAGTCACATCCAATCCATAGTTAACCTTCCAGTGGGTTTTCAGAGGGAGTTAATCTCACGGGATATTGCCCAACTTTACCCCACAAAACAGCTGATGGATTGGAATCATAGGCCTTTAAGATTGCAGTACAGCTATTTACTGCTAGGCCACCAGAGCTCCTTGTAATCAATGATACACACCACATAATAAATATTACTATAGTTTTTATATTTATATACGGTCTTTCAAGTTTGATGTATTTTAAGGAATGTACAAATAAGTAGTGAATTTGTGAAAATTGGCACAGTGAGCAGAAAGAAAATAAATTGTTGTATTTTTTAAACAGTGGTGTTTCTAGAATATTGAAGTAATATGGAAGCATATTTTAAGTGTCATCTCACAAATTTAATTATGTTTACAATTAAAATAATGCAGTATGCACCAGCATAAGATCCACATTCAAAATTAGCACAGTATAGATTCTTTGAAAGGATTCAGAAACCTTAACAAATTATTGGTCTCTAATCAACTAATAGAAAGTTGATAGGTTCAGAATGTGAAAAGCAGTTATGTGTCCCATAAAAAAATAATTTAGGTTAATGAAATGAGTTTCAGCAATATAGATCCACCACACCAGTTCAAAGAGAGGACTGACATTCCAGGCAAGCTTTATTTAGATGAAGCTGAGTTGTCTTTGAGATAATAGGCTTTCCACTCTGGTATCTTGAGTATTAGAGCTAAGCAGTTTCCCCAGAGTCTTTAAGTCCTTTCCAAACTATTTAATGATTGAGTTAATGGTATTGAAATAAACTTTCTCTTTTGAATTTCTTAGCCAGTTTAAAGATCAGTCCTTAAAACGGAATTTTGTCCTTTAAGATGTTTTGCCCACTTCTGAGGCTCGCACTGGCAGGCATCTGCCATCCTGTTCAATCACGAACAGTTGTGATAAGGAGAGTGAAGTATGAGCTAAATAAGGCTGAGGCCTGGGCAAAGTCATTCAGACCAGGGCACCAGGGACTCCAAGACCTCATAGGCAGTGGGGACAGAGAAGGGTGCTCCACTAGTGAATTTAAGAATATATATCTTAAAAACAGGGTAATAATGAGAGACCCAGTGTTTGATGATTTGAAAAATGAAGCTGAAGAGGAAAAATCAGAGGATGAAGACAGTAAAGAAGATGAGGTGAGTGAGGACGTGTTTTCCAAAGAGCATCATTTTTTCCTCTTAGGTAATGATTAGAAAAATGTGTTCCTTCTTCTTTTTTGAACAGGTAGTCTATAAACCTGTTATGGAAGACCTGAGCATGGAATTGGCCAGAAAATGCACAGAGCTCATTAGTGATGTAAGTGGTTTAAGTCTTTCCCCCTTCTTCTTTTGTTTTATGTGTGAGGTGTGTTATAGATGCATAGAACTGAGGAGAAAAATTCTTAAAATCATTTATTAAAGCATTGTTGTCCACGGGGTGAGTCCAGAAATGTTTAGTGATTTCTCCAAGGTCATACACATGGCGATTTATGCTAGAGCCATCTCCTGATTTTCTATCCCCGATCCTGCCCACCATGTATCCTACTGTCTCTCTGTCATGTGATCATAATCACTGGATTTCAGAGAAGATTCTGTATGAAAACCCCAAGGGTCTTTAAACATGTATCATGTCATTCATTTTGGGAGGACAACTACCCAAATAAATTATTTTTAATTTTTTGGGAAACTTTTTGAAGAAGGTGGTGGATGAAAAATTATATATATGTAAACATATAACACTTATTCACAAAGAAAATCCCTAATCTATATGATGATAACAGTGAAAAGGAGCATACTTGTTGCAATTTTTCATCCCTCTAGTAATAGGGGTTGGTTTTTAGTGCAAGGAAATTAGAGATTTATAGAGTTATTATAAATATGTATATGTATAGCAGTGTATTTTTAATATGTGCTTAGATGTTTGTATGTAAACATATATGCATGCATACATAGAGTAAATATGTACACTAGAGTTTTAGAAGCACAGAGGAATATTACTAAGGATAAGAATTTAGGTGGCTTTCTGGTCAGAGGAAAGAAGGCTCATATAAAATAGGTATGTGTTTATATCTTTATTTAGCAAACAATTCATAATACCTGCACTATCTATAGTTCCTAAAGAACAAGTGGTCAGAATATTTTACCAGTGTTTGTTTTCAGAAGCAATCAGTCCTCAGAAGTGGTTTGGGTGATGGCAAGTCCCCTGGTGTCCTTTCTTGAGTTGGACTTAACAGTAACCTAGGGGAGATTATATAACCTCTCAGGCTTCAAGTGTGCCACTTACCAAATAATGCCAACCCCAGCCCCCTAATTACAACAGCCCCCCCAAAAGAACCCCATTGTCGTCAAATTAATTTTGACTTATGATAGCCATTCATTGAATTTATGTGGCTGTAAACCTTAACAAGAAAGACTGACGATCATTCATCTGTGAAATAAATGGCTATTGGTTTCAAATTGCTGAAATTTTGGGTTTCAGTCTAACATTTAGCCTATTACATATAATTACTCACTCATTGTTGTTGAGTTGGCACTAACTCATCGCTGACCCCCAAGAGGATATTCAGAGGCCAAAAATTGAAAGGGGGGAGATTGCCCATCTTTGTTCCATGGAGTAGCTGGTGGATTTGAACTGTTCACCTGAGAGTTGGTAGCACAACTCTTACCCACTAGGCCACCAAAGCTCCCTTAACATTTATAATGTTGCTGTTATTAAGTACTATTAGGACACTATGACTTACAGTGACCCTCTGAAACTTGGGGTGTGTGTGTGTGTGTGTGTGTGTGTTGTATACCGTAGAGTCAGAGCAACCCATAGCTGACCCTCCATTGGGTTTTCAGAGGCTGTAAATCATGTAGGAGGAGATTTCCCATCCTTCTCTTTTGGAATGGCTGGTGTCCTCAAACCACATGCCTTCAAGATTGCAATGCAGCTTCTTGTCACTAGGCCACCTTGCCGTATCTTGTGCAATAATTATTGATGTTATATACCACTGAGTCTGAACTGACTCAGAGGTAACCCTGAAGTGGGTTTTCAAAGGCAATAAATCATATGGGAAGAGATTGCCCATCTTGTTCTCATTGAGCAGCTGGTTGATTTGAACCATGTACTTTAAGGTTGACTTTACAATTCCTTACCACTGAGTCACCAGAGCTTCATGGTACCATATTAGTAAGGTTATGGTGGTAACAATAGTGTCTACATAGTAGACAGAAACATTATGAGTAGTTCATTGATATTAATTCTCTATTATTTTTCTCTTGTATTTTATATAATTTTTGTTGTTGAAAATATACAGTGCAAAACCAACATCAACTCTGAAATTTTTACATGTAGAGATATTGATTACATTCTTTGAATTGTGCAGCCATTTTCATCATATTCATCCTCATTTACAAGAAAGTCTCTTAAGTTTTCTGTCAAGTCTTTGGAGTTATTGTTTCCAATTTTATTTTATATGAGTAGTCTTAAAAGCACATAGTATGCAAAGCAGATCTTTTTAAATTATTTAAGCCAAATTTTTGTTGGTTTTTAAGATGATTTCAGGGAATATTTTTTGTTTAGGGATTAAAGATTATTTCGTTCAACTTTCATTGCTCTAAAGTCTAGAGTCCATGAGAATTTAAAATTCTGTTTTGTCATTTCCTCCCTTTTAATCAAGACTGTTCTGTGGAATCTTTATTTAAAATGTTCAGCAGTGATGGCAACCAGCCACTGTCCAGTTCTGGATTCATGACAAAGGAAGTAGTTGTTCATGGAGACAATTAGCAATTCGTTCCATATTCTCTTTCTGTGTCCAGCTCTCCTTTCTTTTCTCTTGCTCTAGGTGAATAGAGACTAATTGTAGTATCATAGATAACCACTTGCAAGCTTTGATCAGGCATTGTGTCAGTAAACTAGGAGGTAGAAGAGACACATTGAGCACATTATTAGGCCAATTAAATAGGAAGACTTGTGAAACCATGACATTGACATTCTAAACCAGGGAACTAAAGTTAGTGAGGATGTATTTGTACATAAGTAGCCTCAGCTTCTACTCAAATTGTTGACATTATTTTGAATATGTCTATCAAATAACTTTCACCAATTTCATGTTTTACGGATAGATATACACTTCTACCCTTAGTCAATATGATATTTTTATCACTATTCACCTCCCTTTACTTCCTTCTTCACACCTTTGGTAGCCACTTATCTTTGCCTTTTCTTTTTCCATATAAATGAGGCCATACAGGGTCTGTCCTTTTGTGATTAGTTTGTTTTGCTCAGCATAAAGTCTTAAGATTCTATCCAAACTTCATGTCTCCTGCTAGCTGAGAATATACTTAATGACCACTACATCTGTAAATTAGTTTTCCCCATTCAGTCCTTTCTCTTATCCACTCTATTTTGTTTATTGCTATAGAATTCTATGCAAAGTTTAATTTAGCTTTATTCATATTTAATATGCAAATATCAATAGTATTTATGGTACCATTTAAAGCTTTATGCTATGTCAGGACATCTTCTGGCATTGTATGTATTTACTGAATTTTAAGTGTGGCCAAGCTAAATTGTATTATCTAAATCCTAAGGTCTACAGTGATACCTATAGCTATTAAGTGATTTTGTTGGGCGTATTTTGGGTAAGACTAGTTGTTAGTGGCTCTCAAATCAACCCTGTGGTGAGAGGTGATGGACTTTAACAATTTGCAAAAGCAAATGCCATGTTATTTCATTTTCATGTAGGCAAAACAAAACACATGTCATGATTTCTGTTTATAATAGATGTGTATTACATGGCAAGGTACTTCTAAATATTTAGATCATGATCTAAATTTATAGGTGTGTATAATAATGTTTATTTTACCATACTGAATTCTAAAATTGTTAAGATATTGTTGTTGCCATGTGTCATTGAGTCACCTGCGACTCATAACGACCCTATGTAAAACACCCTAAACCCTATTCTATCCTGTGCTAATCTCACTGTCTCTGACACAACTACCCTGTTTGCCCCAGTCACTGAATCAATACACCTCATAGAGGGTTTTCCTCTCCTGCGCTGTCCCTCCACCCTCCCGAGCATTGGTTTAATTTTTAGATGTTTACTTGAGAGTTTATTTTGTTAATATTACTGCATTTTATATGGTATGAGAATTTACCCCTTTTGTTCAGAAAATTAAAAGAGGAATTTGAACTTAGAATAGAATTTAAATAGTTTTAAAAACCAATTTTAATTTCTCTTTCATGAAAATCTATCTTGTTGTTGCTGTTGTGTACCACAGACAGAACTGACCCATAGCTGACCCTCTGGCAGGTTTTCAGAGGCAGTTACTCACACAGGAGGAGATTGCCCATCCTTCTCCTGTGGAGCCACAGGTGGCCTCAAACCACATGCCTTCAGGATTGCAGCACAGTTTCTTGCCCCTAGACCATGAAAGATCCCTGGTGGGCAGCTCCCGGACTTTATTACTGAATAATATGTTAATATTTTTTTAGAATTTTTATTTAATAATATTATTAAGTAATAACTTCTTATTTCCCTCCTAGAATTAGCAGTGATTTTATATAAAACGCATAAACTTCAATTTTAAGTATTTCTTTGCGTATACGGAACCCTGCAGCCTAAAGACCAGTGTTCACATCCACCACGTGCTCCATGGGAGAAAGTGAGGCAACCTCTTCCTGTAAAAATTTCAGCCTGGGCAGCCTAGTGAAATGTCAGTGGGAGTCAGAATTAACTTAGTAGCACTGGGTAGGATTTCTTGGTTATATAAAATGCACATAGAAGCAGCATCAGTCTTGGAGATAAAACAGACACAAATTGATGACTTTTCACTCTGATTTTCAGTCAAATCTATGCTGTACTTCTGCTAGTGGCCCATCTTTTAGTGCCCCCATGCAGTACACTGTTTTTTTCCAAGCTCATCATCTTAAACACATGGTGATGCAGTGACTAAGAGCATGTCGGCTAACCAGAAGGCTTACAATTCTAAGCTACTCAGTTGTGTGTGTTGTGTTGTGTACCATGGAGTTGGAACCAACCCATAGTTGATCCTCCAGCAGGTTTTCGGAGACATTTAATAGCATGGGAGGAGATTTCCCATCCTTGTCCCATAAACTCTACAGACAAGAACACTATGGGGCAGTTCTGCTCTGTCACATGGGGTCACTGTGAGTTGTAAGAGCAACCAACAACATTTCAAAAGCGAAGGACTCTGATGCTTCTTATGGAGCTCCAGTGGACTCGTGGTAAGAAGTTCTGCTGTAGTCTCAAAGACACACGATTCAAATCCACCAGCTGCTCCATGGGAGAAGTATGGGCAGTCTCTTCC